AACTCAGGGAAGACTTTATACTGATGAATAAGGTGACCAAGTTTGATAAAGTTTGGAATAGAATTAGTAAAGTTCTTATGCACACAATAACAATTATTAACGACGACGACAACGACAACGCCGGACAAAATTTTTCCCTTAATATACCTTTCCCTTCCATCTTTGATGGTACGGGCAAGGTAATAAGGCATGGAAGTTCAATCAGCAAGACACTTGATCTGATCACAATATTGACACCATTATTGCAATACAGTCAAACCTGTCTATAGCGGCCACCCAAGGGACTTTGAAATTTTGGCCTTTATAGACAGGTGGCCTTTCTATACAGGTTCACTAATTTATTCATGAATATTAATTAGGCACTGAATGTATTAAAACAGATCTCGCAACCCCATTTGACACACTATTACACTACTGTACACAGTATCCAAACACTTTATTACAAATAAAAATGTTGATTTTAAATTGTATTATGTAAACTAAAATCGATCATTGCACAATAATGAGTAGTATGAAAATTATTTGAAGATTTGTACAGTAAAGTTCATGTTCAGCAGCAGTTTGAGTCTCATTTCCTACTAAAGAAATCACTCAGCTTGCTTTGCTTAGCTATTCTGAATTTGTATGTTTCTTTTAATATCTATTGTCTGGTAACTGTTCTAATAAATCGGAATGTCTCTGGGTTATAGCAAATTCTTTCAAGGAGAAGGGAGAGGGACAGTTAGCAGTGATTTATTGATCCCTACAACGTGACATTTACGGAAAGAACACTTATCTATTGTATCCTTTCCAGTTACATGTACGTGACAACTTGAAAGTTCCCTCCCAAATCACAATTCCCTTTAACATTTCGTTCATTTTTTTTCAAAAATCTTCTCGACCTACCTCACTTACGAAATGGTTGATCCTAATCAAAACATTACTTGCGCAATTGAAATCTGTGCGACTTCCATGTTATTGTACTGGTGCAACAATAGAAACATGTGAAATATGCCTGGCCACTTTGGCCGGCCATGGAGGTAATAATGGGTCGGCGAACTGGGGTCAATTTAACATCATTGTTAAAAGCATCTATTGTTACATGTACCGAGACAGTAGCGACCGAAAAAAAATTGTTGAACGAATTTAGTTTAGACAACGAGACGATACAGCACACACATTCCCTCGCAGTGATCGATACACACTGACGCATGGCTAACGGAAACGACTCTACTTTTTGACCCGAGTTATCATAACCCCGGAAGAACAAGAACGCACATGCGCAAGGCTAATTAGCATAATTTATTTGGATGGATAAACCATGGAGCTAGCTCCATGGATAAACAGGCATGGCCGTTGTGTTGATTTTTTTACTTTTTGCTATCAGTTCCAGTTACATGCGTATTTATCGGTATTTATAGGAGTTCAAAGTGAATAAATATCGATACAAAATAACAAGTGAGCTGTTATGTTTTTGTTTTTTTGGTAATCAATTCGATCGGGGATTTACCGTCGGCATTCCGATTCACCCCAGCCACATGCATAGGGACCGTGAGTGTGTCCTGGCGACTCACACAACTTTTGTCGTCGTCGTCGTCATCGTTGTGATTGCTCGATTCATTAATTGAACAAAATTGTAAGTTATTCCAATGGTATACATATTTCAACAAAACATTAATGACAGCATGTTTTTTTATCAAGACACTTTCAAATTCGTAATTATGTTTTTGGCGTTCCATAGCCATCGGTACGGTGTGCTTGCCGTGGTAAACTGAATTATAAACAAGAATAAAACATAATTGCCGAAGCCATCGGTTGAATGAAAGGTGTGAAAACGTGCTAACTTTGTCCTTTGTGAGCTTATTAGTTGTCTGAGGTGGAAGGCAGTAGTCTGCAAGACATCCGGGAACTATGTCCGTTATATGCAGTTCAACTGATCACTGCGGCCGCTGAAGCGTGGCCGTTGGCCGCGTTAGGCAGGTGGCCGCTGTAAACAGGGTACTTTACATGTAAAATTCGTAGGGACTGTTCGGTTGTGACCGCTATAGGCAGGTGGCCGCTATATCCAGGTGGCCGTTAACACAGGTTTGACTGTA